TACCCCTTTATTTCTCGCCCGTACGACTGTATACTTGTACATGTATGTGACAAAGTATAACACTGACCGACCTTGATTTGTATGAAATTTTGGCATACAAGTAATATGTATGTGCGAGTATATAAATGTTAAGACGTTCAAAATACAACAATACGAAATGCATTTGCCCGTCAACAACGAAAAAAGTCAATTAATTTGGCGAAAAACAGAAAAAAGATTCAAAAAAAGGCAGCAGGCATCGCTGACATTTTTTGGCATTAGTCATAAATTTAAGCTTTAATACTAAGACGGCCAGTCAAATGGCTTTTGCCGTCGTCTGAGTTCATTAGCATGTGGCGCTGGTGCTGGCGATTATAATAAATACGATGGGGTTGTCTGTCATAAAGTAAAAGCAAAGACAATTACTCGTATCTTTCACATTGCTCGGCACAACTAGGAAAAATTGTAGCAAGAAAACTGTGGAAAGCCATACATGAAAACTCTATCTGGCAATTGTCTGCGAAAGTGTTGACAGCAAAATGCAGTCGCATCGCTCACATCGCTCACATCACCAGCCTGGTGGGTTAAGTTGAAGTTGAAGATCGGCAGTCTTCGTGGCATGTGAAAGCGAAAAATATGCAGCCACTGCCACTGCTACTGCCACTATTACTGTAAACTTGTTTCTTCGAGTGGGCTGCAGTATGGATATGGCGAGCAATTGCTAATTAATGCATAAATGTACATGCTATAGTACGTACAAAAAGTAGCCGCACACGGCTGCACACACACACACGCAGTCTCAGTTTCCCAACCAGAGCTATGGGTGTACTTGGTGGTTCGCCTCTGCCTCCGCCTCCGCCTCGACGTTGACTGACAGAGGCTGAGCAAACAGTGCGCCCAGGTAGAAATTTTGCAGACAACGTTACAGGAACTCCGCAGACAAACGCACATACTACTGACAAGATAACGCCGCTATAATGCTCTGCGATGAGACTTGGACGTGGACATGAAAATGGAACCTGTTTGCATTTACGGGGAACGCGGAGTGCGAGTGCGAGCAACAATTGTTCTGATTCTTAGGGGTGGCTTCGGGTTTGCTGCCGACGTGGTTGAACCTGTGCAGGGTTGTATGTGTGTGCGTGCGTGTGTGTGTGTGCCTCCATGTTTGTGTGACTCATGACCCAGTCAGAAGGAGATGCTGTAAATAAGAAGATCGATTGACTGACTGACTGACTGACTGGCTGGCTGACTGAATGGCTAACATATCGGGCGTATAAGTCGCAGTTATATTCAAGAGCAGGTGTTACTCTATTGATGTAGTTTCATCTAGGAACTTCAATTTAGTGTCCATCTCCTACATAAATGTGAAAACTATTACAGTTTCCATTCGGTTATTTAAAGTTGCTATAAATTGTATTGACCAACTGCTATGATGGGTTTAAATGCATCTAATTCTGTTTTTACACGTTAGATCGGTTCCAGAAAAAGTCGTGCAAAAAAGCCGTGTAGGTGTGCACCTAATTCTGTTTTTACTCGGTCTTTTTTACACGGTTTGAAAATGGTGGCACGCCTTAATTCCATTTAGAACGATTCACAATAACATGTGATCAATGACTTTTTCTTTTTTTACACAATTTTGATACAAAACGGTTTGAAAATTAAAAATTGCATATATATTGCTTTAGAGATAAGGAACCAATAACCTATTTTTGCATATGATCGATGTATTTTTTTACACGGTTGTTTCTGGAACCAATCCACCGTGAAAAAACATAATTAGGTGTACTTGTACACACCTCTAGCGAGCACCATAAACTATAAGAAAGTTAATATCGATACATGAGTCATTTGCCTAAAAGCTTACTATAAATATAAAGCAAGTCATATTATGCATAAACGACGATCAGGCCCGTTTCTGGACGAGCCCGCATATTCCACACACACAGAACTACCATGTCTATCTATCGAACGAAACTATGGGGCTCTATAAAACCATACGCCAGCCAATGCAGCGAAAATCAGCCAACTCGCTAGTAATCGTAATGTGTTAATAATGCCGGCACGTATGTACGTGTATAGTATGTATTTATTTGCATAAAATCGCATTAAAATTTGCCATTTTTCCAACTTTAATGTACCATAAAATAAACAGCAACAACGATGACGACGCCGACGCCAACGCCGACAAAATGGAAAATGAGTATTGTTTTTTTTTTTTTTCAGTGAAGAGAAACTGTAGAGAACGAGAAAAACAAAAAAAATTACTAGACATTGCGAAGACCACATACCCTGAGAACCCGACACGAACTGAACAATATTATTTAAAAGACTTGACTCGAACGGCTTCTGTTACCTGATTAAACATTGTTATCGTGTCAGATCTGTAAACGCATTTCTGGAAGGCTATTAAAAAAGTAAGTTTAAAAAAATAGGAAAGCCAAGCTACAAACCAACCAGGAACTGTCAAGTTGTTTATGGAGGAAAAGCTGGACTCAGGCCTAAATGAGGCGTATGGGCTACCGAGGCTGATGTCCTCCGTGACAGCTTCTGGCTTGGAAAATTAATTGTAGTCGCTTGGATTAAGCAAAGCCAAGGCCTCATTAGAGGTGGGCGGGCACCCAAACTTTTCCAGGACACTCACACGACACCACGCTATGCCCTGACCTATGACTGTACATGTATATGTATATGGAAAAAAGGATCTGCGTACGCTCTGGCGTCATACTAATTTTAATTACGCCGCACAAACTGACAACAATGGCAGCGCGAAATATACTAAAATAAACGAGGGAGCAGCAACTAAAAAAACAACAACAATCAAAAGAAAAGAGCGGAAAATTGACACGCGTTGTTTTTGTGGACACAGCGCCAACGCCACAAGAACAACAGGGAGCAGAGAAAGAAAGTCGTCATTGTTGTTGTCCTAGATGAATTATGGGTGGGTGGGTGTTGTGGGGTGGTGTGGCGGCTTGTGTGTGGCCGATGTGTTGTGGGCTTGGCTGTCAGTTTCGCGTTTTCGTTTGCGTTTGCGCCTGTCTAGACAACGTCCTAGCTGTTTGATGTGCCTGACCAAAAAGCAGACTCGAATTACTCACCGAGACGCATTGTGTTTAATCAAATCTATTGTGTGTGACTAGGCGGATTAAAGGGCACGGGTTTTTACTTACACAGGTGAGGGATAAAAAAGGATAACGAGCAGCACCTCAACAAGAAACCGCAAAATTAAAAATGTTGGTTGCATATATTTTAAGGACTATGGTACGAAATTTAACAGTTTGTAAAATAGTTCCGGAATTAGTCTATGCTTGAATCGCAAGTAAATATCCAAAGTTGAGAATTAACAGTGTCGTCAAACGTTCGAGATTATCTTAAAGAATCTGACTTATATAACTTATATGCTTAAAATCCGTCATTTGTAAAATCAAAAGTATAAGTTTTTTAGTTGTCTTAACTAATCTTTCCAGCCATCCATGTAAATAGAAATTTCAATTGATCCGAAGGGAAGCTTTTAAAAATTCTTTATAAATTTACAAAGAAAATGAAATAGAAAAACTACTAAATATGTTAAGTGTGGATTAACTAAACAGTTGAACTCCAAAGCTGATCTAGTTCAGTTCAAGCTGGAAATGAATTCGAGCTCGAATCTTGAAGCTGGACCGACACAACTCTACTTGTTTATTTTCTGATTTCATATGCATGTACATTTGTGTATATCCCAGCACATTATTCATATTCAAATGAAGACGCAATTTACGCACATACAGTTTACACCTAATTTAACAAAACTACAAACATACATACAAGTATATGTATGTACACATGCGAACACACTTATGTATGTACATACATATGCACGTATATAGTATACGAGACACTTTTGAATCAAAGCCCACTTGAACGTCAATTGGAATGGCATTTGTATATTCTGTATGCCAATTACCAAACTGTTTACAGCCCAGTCAAGTGCCTGGTGCTTGGTTACTGTAGACGACTCATTTGGGCAGAAGAGAAGACCTATAGACACATTTTGTTGCTTTCAGAATGATTTTTATGGAATGTTCTGCTGATGTTGCTCTGCGCCACATAAAAATAAATTTACATTTCAGCAAATGCGTTTTAATTGGCCGTCTGTCAGTTGTCATGACAATAATTAATGTATTACCAATCCATGTACATAAACATGTGTATTTTGGGCGTAAGCGCCTGGCCGCACAGGGTCGGATTTGGATTTGGCCTGAGATGATGATGATAATGATGTCTTGCTGTGCGTATCTTGGCATTGGAAATGGCTGCCGCTGATTGCGTATTGACTGGTGAAACGATTTGTATAATATAGTTTTGACTCTTTTTAATTTTTATGTCTTCGCGGAGTCTCGCCCAAAGAAAATATGTCAAAAAATGTGATGGACTAATACCACTAATAGGGGCTGGCCAGAGGCGACAAGCAAGACAGCACTTTCAGTTTTGACAGCTTCAGAAATCAGAAATGTAATTTGCAAATTAGATCTGTAAAGATCAGCACGATTTGTTTGTATTTTCTAATCGTATTGTATAGCAAAGTAATGAGAAAATTGGTGATCGATGATTCGAAAAAGATACTACAAAGCAGCAAACGAACGAGTTTCTGTAAATTTTCATCAATAGGTTTACTGTTAGGACCTAGATTTGGGCGCCCAGGCCTTGTTGCATGTGCTCTTCCCAAAAGATCCCGTTGTTGGGTTGGCCTGACCTATGCACGCTCTTTGTTATGCAAGTAGTTGGAAATTATTAATACGACTTTATACTTGAACGGTATATGTCAACCGTATACTCGTACGTATAGCAAACGACCACAAAATGTTTTCGGCGTAACAGAAAATGTAAAAGGGCCAAGTAACTCAACTTGCTTCAAACTTTGCATTGCTCTTTTGTCTTGTTTTAAATGATATGTGGTAGCTTGAAGTCGAATTGAGTTACTGTGGAAAACTCGCTAATGAATGGGTATGCGTAGATACGAGTTTATGCTAGTAAGTGTGACTCACCGTGCGTATCTATATAATGCGCCAACTCAGCTACTAATCCACATAAGCTGTTATCCATTCGGACGTGTTTCGATGGACACGAGACACAAAATATGTAATCCAATTGAACAAATTGTTATGCGTACTGTTAGATACAATTTGTTTTTTTCTGAGCTTCACTTTTGGTATCTCATTGGAGCATTTGCTCCCGAACCACTTCAATTAGCAGCAATATATTCGCACCATTTGTTAAACTCAAACACTTGGCCACTTTTTACATGCAGACACACAAAAGATATAGTAAATGCATGGAATTACTTATTTTCATTCCTATTTTGTTGTTGTTGTTGTTGTTATTTTATTATGCGGGCCAAGAAAAATACAGACATATGCACGCACACACACACATTCGCGCAAACAAAGCGACGGTTGCCCGACGTTGTTGCTTTTTTTTTTTTTTTTTTTTTCTTGTTATTTGCCTGACGGACGTAGACGTCGACAGACCTTCAAACGAAAGCGAGTCAGTCAGTCAGTCGGCGAGGCTGCCTTGCTGCCTTGCTGCCTGGCTGGCTGGGCAGCGTCTCGTCTTGGTCTTTTGCGAAATCGGCGACAGGACGTGCGTTTCCTTTCCACAACACAACACAGCACAACACAGCGCAGACACACACACACTCTTTCTCTTAGAGACTGGCTGGCAGACGGTATGACAGACAGCAACACTCACATACATGCATGCATATCGTTCGTCTATGAAGACATTTTTGTGTTCTGCTCTCTCTTCTGCTTCTGCTGCTGCTGCTGGTGCTGCTGCTGCTGCTGCTAACAACGACGTCGTCGTCGTTGATTACGTAGCTGTAGCTAGCCGTTGATAATAATACTGCGTTGATGATGATAGTTCTGGCAGCGTTTGTATTTGTAGTTGCAAGTGTGTGTGTGTGTTGTGAGCGTGGTTCTGTTGTTGTACAAGTAGTTGGTAGTTTTAGTTTCTTTCACAGTAAAATGTTTATATTTACGAGCGGCCTGCGTTTAATTTACACAATTTCTTGTGTTGTGGTATTGTAACAATTAGAATGCTAGCCGCATGCAGCATTTAACGATTTGGATTTGCACTAACCGGCACTCTATAAAATTCCTATCAGCATTATCTATTCATATATATATTTGGAGATATATGTAATTATTTTTTTTTTTATATTTTACTTTACTTTTTCCCAAAAATCAGCTACTAAGCATTTGCACTTTGTTATTGTTGTTGTTTGGTTATTGGTTGTACATACATGTATAAATTTATATACTTCTTTTTTATAACTTTTGAATTTTTAAAATTGCACTTGTTGTTGCTCTTTGTTTTATTGTAGATGCATAACAAATTTGTATTGTGTATTTTATATTTGTGTAGAGATATACATAGACATATATTTGTTGTTATTTGTTTTAATGACAATGCGCGCGTTTCTTTTGCAAAATGAAAATTTCTTGGTAAGCTTTCTGTTCAAGCTAATGAAAACCGTTGAAGGTTGAAAGCAACCGCAAATAAACAGCACACGAACCGTCAACGACCAAGTCCAAACAAATACTAAATCAATGAAAAACGCCAACTGGCCTGGCGGCGGCAGCGTCGTGCTGTCGACGTCAGACAAACACGAACTCACCACACTCAATGGCGCACCACCGACACCGATACCAGCACCAACACACCTCAGCAGCCCCCACCAACACAGTCACCATAAGAGAGACCAACTGAATGAGAGGGTCAAACATGCATCAACCCACACCAATGCAAATAGACCGCTCGCCAAATGGTTTCTTCCTCTCAAAAGTCGAAAGCGGAATCAACGCTAAAGTTAAATGGGAATGTCAAAAAACGATACTCTCTCTCACTCTCTCTTTCTCACTCACCACACGCACACACACACACACACACACTGTGGGGATTTGTATCTGTGAGTGCGTCGGGTATATGAATGAAAATGCCGATGCAATGGCACGCTGTTTTTTAGACGCTCTCTTCATCACGTTTGTAGTGGTGTCCACTATGATTTCCCCATCTGTGTGTGTTTGTAGGTGCCATCATCGCATTGCTTTATTTGCCTCCTTTTATTTTCTGAGTCGGTTGATTTTTTCCCTTGCTTTTTGTTGTTTTTTCTGTGCACATTGGTGCAAGGGCAGAAAGTGAAATATATTTTCATTTTAATATTTTGTGAAATAACTTCTTATTTGAAATACAAGTACTGTGGTGGTTAGTATTCAAGATTAGTATTTACGAACTAACAAAGAGTAAAACTCTTTAAAAAAAAGTAGGTGCAAAATATGAGCAACTAATCTGTTGGGTTGTTTTATACATCAATGGTAAAAGACTGTAGTTGATGATGTAAAAATATTTATTTATGTTTATGAATTGCGTTTTCAACAAATAAACGCCTTTTTACCCCCAACAAAAGTTACATTATATTCGATGTAATGTTTAATCTGTAGTAGTGCCCCCGACAGAGTAATTAAGTTCTAATATAATGATTTACGACAGTGCATATAAAATAAATTATATAATGCCAATAATCCAGCAACTTGTCTGAATAATAATTTAAGTGCCTCTGTAAGCTAATACTATCGAAAGAGGAATTGCGTACCTACATATACGTATCTATGTAATTACACATACTACACATAGTACGTACTATGTGCATGAATTTCGTTGTAAAAGTCAGTAGGCACGAACATAACAACAGATACAAATTGGACTAATTCCATTGTACGTATGTACATACATATGTATGTACATACAGACAAGCATAAGTACAAGTGTGCATATTTACATGCGTATCTACGAATATGTAAGTATGCCTGTACATTTATGTACATAAAACATTTAGATACATATATACAAAAAAAAAAAAAAAACTTCTACAGAGTGAAGCCGCCTGACGTTGAGACGTAATTGACGAAAAGCAAAGATCTACACCCAAACAAAAAATAAAGTATCTACGTAATGCCAGTTGGGGCGGCGGCGGCGTCGCGCAGACGGCGGACCTGCAGTGGCGTCGTATAAATTGCACATTTCAAATACATTGTGGTTAAAAAGTAAACGTCGAGACAACAAACAGAGATACAGATACGCATACACGGCTGCAGATAATTGTAGCTGTCGTTGCCATTGCCGTTGCTGCTGCCGCTGCCGCTGCCAGTCTGACACTTGTGTGTACGTGCGTAAGTGTGAGTGCGCTAAGTTAACGCTGGGCAAGTTCAAGTGTAGAATGCAATAGAGCGCAGCGCACTGTGCACACTGGAGAGCAGCCGTGAAAAGAAGAGAGTGAGAGCGAGAGCGAGAGAGAGAGAGCGCGCGCTTGAAAAGCCGGCTATTTTTGAGCGAAAACGGTGTGGTGAATTCGTTTGTTGGGGTAGTTGGGCAGCGCGCACTATAAGCCTGCGTATCTTTGTCTATAGTATGTGCCTGCGTGTGTGTAGGTGTGCGTGCGTGTGTTTGCCAGACACATTGAACCACAAAAGTTCAAGATGAAAACACAAAATATCAACAATGACAGCTGAGTCGTTGGACGGGGAGGCGGCTGCAGTGCTCAAGGGTGGCGGCCTGGCTTCACTGTGTATTCATACAAACATACACGTACACATATACACATACACATACACAATACACATACAATACAGAATTTGAATGTGGGTGTGTATGTCTAGTGGGTGGCAGAGGGGGACGAAGCTTCGCTACTAACACAAACATAGCCGCAGCTGCCGCTATGACTATGACTATGGCTCGGTGGCTGGCCGACTGCCAAATGCGCTCGCTCAGTTCAGTAGTACAGTGGAGCAGTCGGGTGTGAGAGTATGTAAAGAGTATGTAAACTTTGTGTATGTGTGTGTGTGTGTGTGCATGTTTTACGGTGTGTGGGGGAGTGTGGTGGTGTTTGTGTTTCTTATATGCACAGCATTTGTTGGGGTAGTTCGCTGCACAACGGCAACCGGCAATAAAATAAAATAAAAAACGTTGCAAATTAAAAAGCAGCAGTCGCTTCTTTCGCCGTTGCCATGTAACTTACAGATACATTCACACACACTCCTATAGTACAAGTATATGCGCGTATCTCTGTATGTACAAGTATGTATGCATGCATGTGTATGTGAGTGCATATAGCGGCACACAGATAGCAGCTAGAAAAACATGTCTACATGCCTGTCGTACAAGCTGCAAAATTTATGCGAAGACACACAAATCCACTGAACGAGAGACCAAGACCGACACCGACAGCGGCCCAGCAACGAGCAACGAGCAAGCGCCCGAACGAGCGGCGCTGCTTTTTGTAGTTTAGCCATAGACAAGCGCACATTTGTTGGGCTGCTGCCCCATCCTTCCACCTCATGCCCCATCCGCGCTCATAAATGCATAGCCAGGGCCGCAGCCACAGCCAGAGCCAGAGCCGTAGCCGGAGCCGTGGCCATAACCATGCACACAATAATAATTTGTTGTATGTATTTTCTTGCGCGCGACTTGGCTCTGGGGCTGGTGGTTTGCCTTGTTTGGTTTGGTTTTGTCTGATTTGGTTTCGGGTTTGACTTTGAGACGGCGCATGGGTGCACAGACACTCTTACACATAGACACGGACCCATTGAATCGGTCTTGGAGCCGAACAAAGTCAGGTTTAATGTCGTTCAAAGGCTGTTGAGGCGTTGGCATGTGAAAAACTGTGCTGGGAAAATATACTGACAGCGAGCAACTGATCATAAGGTGTTTGTCGGATAAATGATATGGAATATTGACATTTCAAAGAAGTATAACGTCTGCCTGTCTAATCGAAAATTATAAGTTTTTGAATGGCCAGCAATTGCATCGGCATGCCTACTTTTGTTTTCCATACAACCATAGTTTTATCGATATCTGGAGTTTTTACGAAAGCATACATTTAAACAATAATTTCGGGAACAAAAAGTGTTTGAATTACCAAACTTGGTATCCTCTCCTATGTCCGAGGAAGGACAAGTGCATCCGTTTTTCTCAAGTACAAGGTGTATTACATAGTTGGAAAAGTGGATCCCTTGCTGACTTCCAGACATTTCCACAAAGTATCATTGTGTTTATGTTAAAGAAAGAGCCAATATAAAGTTTTCTGTAAGGTTTGGTAAATCTTTTACCAAAACATTTCATCGGATGAGCAAAGTTTGTTACTGATGATTGCTTATCTCATGAGTGATGACTTGAATAACATGTTGGCAATCATAAAATAAAATTTTTTCGCATTTTTATCGAACATTTGGCCTACCAAAAAGTGTATGTAAGATTTGTTCCGTACAAGTTGACTGACGAACACAAACATTCGCACCACATTATAACAGCTCGAAGTTTCCTTTATAACGTATAAACATAACTTAACCCAAGTGCCAGTGCGCCAACAAAGACTTCGACCTACCGGGTCAAACTGTTGATGCAGTATTCCATCTTTCTGATTTGAAGCGATTGCAAAAACGAATTCATTGTATTCTACCAGCGTATCAGGAAGAAGATAAGGCGCCATCTTATCGATCGCCGTTTGTGAGAGATTTTTTCATTAAAAATTGATGTTAGCTTCACTCGTAAAAACACACGTAAATTTAAATATTTACACCATCAGTTTTTCTCCACAGTGTGTTCTACTGAATATGTATAAAGAGTGCACACTTCAATTTCGAGTTTAATATTAAAATATTAGATTTTAATTTAATCAAAAGTGATGACGTAGACGTGAATTTGATCCATTATAATTATAAAATATTCATTCGTAATGCATATTATAACATATATTTTTTATATAGAACATCTCATTAGAAAGACATTTTCCAATTTCCATTGTTATTATAAATATCGACTTTTCCGTTTTAAGTAGCTTAGATAAATATTGATATTAAAAAGTGAGGAATAGCTGATTAAACACCTACTTGATACATTCTTAACAACCATATAGTATGTAAAGATTTCACAATTTGTATTAATACCATACAACTGCTGAAAACCGATTTGCGTATTCTAGTCAATGTTTGGCTCTATTTTACATTTGAAAATATTCCGATGAACTATTAAAAATATTAAAATGTAATATATTTCTAGTTCAGTTGTGTTGTTTGTGTCTTAAAAGCTTAAAGTACAGTGTTACATTGACCTGTTTTAAAATATTGTATCGAGATTATCGACTGTTTACTTATACCAGA